TGAGTGTCTGACGTGGTTATTTCTGTTGAAGACACAGGCACACTTGAATTTTGGTATATTTACCACTCTTTTCCTTGGTTTATTTATTGATGTTTCTGTTTTAGGGCTCCCAGAGGGTCTTAGATACCTATAATAGCCAATTTCAGAAAGACTCTGAGTAGCTGAAGACTTCCTTTGTTTAAAATCAGTGAAGATGGGTGTTATGACCATGCTTGTTGGGAGACTTGCTTCTGCCTTGGCACTGGGATGTGGTTGGCAGAAGAGCCAGCTGTGTAAGTTTTGGAGAAGTGGAGAGTCCACCTCTGCCAGCAGTGACTGAATGCTTCGAGCAGGCAGTGTTGCTGTGCTGGCTGGCAGTCTGCTGTGCTGGGAGCTGTTTTGTCAGAGGTGCTGGGGTTGGATAAGACACTTTTCATCTTTGCTGTGGGGAATAACGTGGTCTGTAGTTGTTGACTGGGCTGACTGGCTTTGATATGTTGGTCTGTTTTGTTTCCTCACTGAGGTTGCCATCTCACTGGAAACCGAGAGCTGAGCAGACTGCTCCCAAAAGCTTACTATAACCACCTTTCCCCAGAGATATCCAGTCAATATTTTTTTCCTTAGCTGTGTTGATTTAATCAATCCCTTGCCCCTGAAAATGGGTCAGAACCTTCAAAAAGCACCATGTGGGAGGCTCCCTAATTGTGTTGGAGAGCTGTCATGGCTGGATGACAGAGTGTGTTTATATGTGTTTAAGTGGAACTTGTGTGGTTTGTTTGTCCCACTGCCTCTTGTGCTTTCATTGGGCACTGCTCAGTCTTTTCCACACCCAGATCAGTAAGATTTCCCTGAGCTTTCTCCCAGCTCTTTCAGCTGTGCCTTGTATGAAGGTACTCCAGACCCTAAGTCATGTTGTGATCTTCATGGCCCTTTAGGCTCACACCATTATTTTCATTTCTGTCTTGTACTGGGGCACCCAGGACATCACCAAGCACTCCAGTTGGGTCTCCCCAGTGCAGAGCAGAGGGGAAGATCCCCTCCCTTTGTCTGTGGCAATGCTCCTCCTAGTGCAGCCCCAGCTGCTCTTGATTCCCTTTTGCTGCCAGAATGCGTTGTTGGCTCCTATCAACTTGGTGTCCACCAGGTCCTTCTCTGCCAAGCTGCTTTCCAGCCAGAAAGTCCACAGCCTGTACTGGTGCATGGGGTTGACTCTCCCCAGGGACAGGACTTGGCATTCCCCTTTGAACTTAATGAGGTTGCTGATGGTCCATTTCCTCAGCCTGTTGAGCTCCTCTGAATAGCAGCACATCCATCTGGTCCATCAGCCCCTCTTCCAGACTTTGTATCATCTGCAGACTTGCTGAGGGTGCATCAGTCCCATCATTTAGGTCATTAATAAAGATACTGAACAACTCAGGATTGACTCCTGGGACACACCACTGGAGATTCTCCCCCAGCTGGATCATGTCCACAACCCTTTAAGCCTGGCATTTTGGACAGTGTTCAGTCCACGCCACTTTATACTCCTCTGACCTGTACTCTGTCAATTTGTTTTCAGTGGCACTGGCTCAGTTGCCTCTGATTCTTCACTGCACAGTTTCCAGCCTCTCATCTGCTACCAGGGCACTGAATGTAGTCTTGTGTTTGTAAATCTGTTCTGTCAGTTCTTAGTCTGTTATAATTTAATATCTCTAATGTCCTCATCAACCTGAGTGTGATGTGGCTTGTCATTTGTTTTGTTGCCTTCCCTCTTTGCTTGGTTGGAAGCAAGTTCCAGGTGCTGTCTTTATGTTTATATTTGAATTCTTGCCAAAACAAGATTTCCACTTATGTGTTAGAAATGTAGGATCAAGATACCTTCTTTCCATGCAGTGTAGGAGATGGTTTGGGATGGCCCATTCTGCCTGTGAAAACTGAGGAGAAAGTTGTCTCCCTCTCAGGTGAGCTTTGGTGTATCTGGATGTGCAAGTAAAGCATAGTGAACCTCAGTGTTCCTGCTCAGGCTTGAGAAGACTATTTTTCATCCATGACGTGGTCCTTATGGACTTCTGAGATACAGATAATTGATTTGAGTTGGGTTTGAAATGGTGAAAGCAGTGTAAAAAAATCGAAGGGAGGTAAGATAGGTGGATTTGGTATTTTGTGTTGCTGAGGAGTTCTGCTGCACCTTCTACCAGTTGAGACTGTTTTTTGGAATGTTTGACTAGTTTATATGATTGAACTGGAGTACAGCTTATTGCTGACTGATCACAGCATATCTGTTCTTATGTAAAGCTCTTAAGTGAGAACTTGAAACATTCGAAAGCATTCAGAACTACTAAAAGCCTTCAGAAGTACAATCCATGGACTAATGTAATTCCTAGTTATTGTTGTTATAAGGATTGTGATGCCTTAACATTATCTGTCATCACTGGATACTGTTTTTACTTGGGTAAATATTATACTTTATACTTCAAGATGTTCCAGAGACTTATTTAATGTGGACTGTTTTGGCAGTAAACAGTTTCTTGCCCATCACACTGAAGTCTAAATTACCTGAATGATTCAACTAGTTGCTAGTATTGAAAAGCAAAACTGATGAGTTCTCCTTGAGGGTCACATAGTAGCTAGGTGGGAGATGTGTAGCTTGTTGCTGTTTCTGTGCCATCATGAAAAAAGTTCTGGGATAAAACTGTTTTGACATTCCCCCCAATCCCTTCCAATCCACTTTACAGATGAGACAACAGAATTTGCATCTGGTTTGTCTACATATCCATGAGAGTGAGGGTGGCATGGAGCATCACTGACAAATAAAAGAGGAAATTCAGCACCTAAATTTCAAACATAAAAAGCTGATGTCCTTTTACTGCTGTTTGTCTTTGGAACACAGAGACATGTGGGTGGTGACTGGGAGGTTCTTCAAACCCTACGCTGGTTGTTGGCATGACCGAGCCTGTGTTTTACAGCCTGGAAAGGTGACCAGAGTGAGTGTGTTGTTCATTTCAAACACAAACACAGGAATGTTCTCCCAAGGGAATAAATAAGCTTTCAAAAGAATTGGTTTGTGTTGACACAGCATGAGTGTGATTATCTACTACTGCTGTGGAAAAAGGCCCAGGTGTTTGGCGTTTCAGTTGCAGTCTGCAGTGCTGAGAGCATTTACCATGACTGACACTCTATTCTGATCCATTTTCCATGTTTAACTTTGTAGAGCTGTTCTGTATATTGTATTGTGTGTATATTGAAATATAGTACCTGCTAATGTGCTTCAAAACAGAGTGTATCCTGAGAGGAATATGTGACGTGGATATTTCTTACATTTCTCTGCATTTGTAGGTTTCCAAAATGGCTGGGTCGAGTTGGTTGGAAGATGACACTTTTATTTCCAGACTGTAGGTGATGAATGGTTCTTGTCTTTATGATCTGTGGCTGCCAGAATTTCCTATATGTTTGGCAGTATTTCATGTCAGCCACTCCAAAGACAATTCAATGCAGAAGCAAGACAAAACTACTCTACTTGCTGCAGGCAGTAAGGAGGGGAATATAATCCTCTGAAACAAGTTTAGAGAATACATTTGGCAAAAATAAAAAAGTGTATGCCAGGAGTTTCAGATTGTGTATCATGATCAGGTGACTCTGGTGCTGCCATCTGTTCAAGAGAAGAAAATAAATTTGTCTTTAAAGGAAAAAAAGCAAAACTAAGTCTTCATCTTTATATTTGACTGATTCCTTTGTTGATGGTTATAGTTAGGAAATACTTCACCAGACAGATCATTCAAGCTTCTCTTGCATTCATGGCACAGTCATGTAGTTCTGTTTTTTACTAAGGGTTTTCTGACTTCATCCATAGGCAGCAGAGGAAAAAAGGCTTCATGGCAACATCACTGAAGCTGCACTTTTGATCAAAATCGCCCACAGATCAGAATTATACATTGGTTTAATGCAACTGTAAGATCAATACCAAGGAAATAATACTTCTTCCCATTTGATTCCTTAATTTTTTAATTAATTGCTGGATATTATTATGCACTAATGGAATGAAGTAAGTAGGGAAAAAACCCCAAACTTCTACAACCCTTCAGGATTTCTGTCTTTTAACCCTGTTGTGCTTCTGTCATTTTGTGTGTTCCTTGTGTTCTGTTGAGGAGCAGGTTTCAGTGAGAACAGTGTTAATATTTGGCAGTGCCTGGATATCTGACTGAATTTGAGTGAGGGAAGATTATTTGACTGCTGCAGGTTTGTGGAAATTTCTGGCATGAACAGAATTTCTTGATGAACAAATGAGTCTTTATTGCCAAACGAGCCTTAAGCTGTCAGTGAGCAACTCATGGATCTTGTGCAACAGATGGACAAATATGTAAATACATTGCTATGCTCCTCTGAGTAAATTAAGTGTATCAAAATTAAAGCTCACTTGCTTATTCTATTTCATACAAACGGGATGACTCTGAAGGAGGGTGCCTTTGTCTGTGCAGTTTAAGTTGCATGACGTCAATCACACACCTTCTGGCTGTATTGCATTTCTTGGATCAAACCTGCAAAAACACTGTGTGTGCAGCAATCAGTTTTTGCAGATAGAGTTGCAGGTTTAGGTGGGAGAATAAACAAAGCATCGTGTGTACATACCTTGCATGCAGTGTTTGAACCTTCCTCCCTTCTTGGCCCCAAATGTGCGCTGAGTAACAAGCACTTGCCCTGTGGGCAGTGATTCATTATTGGTAAATCTCCAGCTTGGTGTGGGGGGGAAAAACCACTGCCAGCAATTCCTTCTACCACATACGAGTAAAAACCTACCCACCACCACCAAAATATGACCTGTTGTCATATACATGCATTTACTTTATTCTAATAGGCAACTATCCGTTTTTTTTCCCACCTCAACAGAGTTGGCAATTCTACAATTCACAAATGAATGTTGTTTTAAGGGAAAAACACTTGTTCTTAGCATTTGTGGTTAGGTCTGCCTTATGCACATATGTGGCTTTCAAGCTGCATTTCCAAGACTGGGTTGTATTCACTGTGGGGTTTTTTTTCTCTTTTAGTGGACTATATCGTGGAATATGACTATGATGCAGTGCATGATGACGAGTTAACAATCCGAGCTGGGGAAATCATCAGGAATGTGAAAAAACTGGAAGAAGAAGGATGGTTAGAAGGGGAGTTAAATGGCAAAAGGGGCATGTTCCCTGACAATTTTGTGAAGGTGAGTTCTCTGCATTTGCTGGGTCTTACTGTGATAGTGTATCAGGCTCATTATTACTGAAGTGATTAGAATACACATTACTTGTATTTGTAACAGGATGATTTTTTTTTTCAATGGGAAGATCTTTTAGGTGATGACATTTTTTTTAATATACTTTTGAAAAATTTTTTTGAATTCTACTGTCTGTTCTTGTTCACTTCAGCATTTCTTTTGGTTTGTATCCTTACACTGTATATTCAGCAGTGCACTAAGTTGCCTGGAGCCATAGTTATCTGCTTTCGTGAGATGAACTGATTAAAAAAAAGCCAAGACCATGAAAACCCCTAAATCTACCCCTACAGAAGACATCAGGTCATGAGAGAGTTGGGAAAGTGGGGAAGTTCAGAGTCTGCTGAGCTGGAGATATTTTTCCATCTAAACTGTGCAAGTATTGAAGATGTGCTTTGCTTCTTTATGCTTTCTGGCATTTTTAGTAACTTACAAGGATTCCTTGGTGTAACACTTCTGTACAGTCCAAGTGAATTTAGATATTTCTGCATCTTTTGAAGTGAAATTCTTTGCAAACGAGAACTATCTAATGTATCTTACTGCGATACTTTCATGTTGTTAAAACTGAGAGGAAGGTTGAAGGTTGTCCAGTGCTGTAAACACTTTATACATATTTACTTTAAGTTTTACAATTTTTCTGTTCATATTACTGAAAAAGCGAAATTACTTATATTTAATTTACTGCAGAGAGTTTTAAGTATTTTCCTTTTAAGGCTGATGGGAATAATCCAGTTGTTCTCAGAGATGGTCTTCTACCAAGGACAGGTTTGTACGGATGCCTTTCACTTGTGTAATATTTTCAGATTTTTGGTAGTTTAGTTCAAAGTCCATTTTGGGTTTTGAGTCCTGTGTAAATAGTATTTGACCCTAAGTGATGTTTTGATGGTTACTGTGTTGATGAGGTTAATTAGCACTGAAGTACTGTGTAGGAAGAAAGCCTCAGACATGGCTCTTCTCTGGTACTTATGTCATCAACACTGTCTTTCTGCTGAACAGCAAAGAGGGGTTGGATGTGATGTGTTTCTGTGTTAACTACCAAACTTGTTGGGTGTTTTCTTGCCCTTCTGCAGCTGTGGCTTTTATAAACTTGGTTTAAAATTATTTCCATCTTGGCATCTCAGCTGCAGATATTTTTAACCCTACAGCTGTTCAGTATGTACATGACATGGTTGGATATCCTGAATTACAGGGGACAGTTTTCTAGAAGGCATAGGAGTTCGGAGGAGTGGAAAGGAAGTTGTGCAGAAGAAAATGATCACTTTTGTTTCATGACAATAGGGATAACTTTCCTTTTTAGTGCTGGAGCTGAGTGCAGTTATGAGGCTGATCCTGGGAACTTTTTCTTCTAAGATGGTCTGTTTAGAGTGGAAAACTGTTGTGCAGTGATGAGATGATGGGAAACCATTAATTGTTAGGGAAGTGAAAGTTTTCTTCGAGGTCAGTTTGATTATAGTTTCTTCTTAAAAGTTAATTTACAGGTAGAGGTAGTTTGAAAGACTGTTTCTGGGTTGCAGAACAGTGGGGTTTTTTTTCTGTCTCATCCAGAACTGTTCTCATTTGTCGCTGTAGTAGATTCATTTGTCACTGTAGTAGACTGTTGGATCATACTGCAGGATCTATGAACTGCTTCTGTGACCGGACTGCTGCAAGTACCAAGCCTCAGCAGCTAAACTCAAATGCCCCAGCTTGGCCTGGTGTGGTTTTAACACCCTCAAGGTGTGGGTGCAGTGCAGGAGGGAGGTGGAAACAAGCAGAAGCAGGGTTGTTGCACTTTGGCCTTGTGAATGAGGAAGGTCCCTTGAGAAATGGATTTACTTGTTTTCTGCTGTGCGCAGGAGCTTACCACCACCACAGCTGGGAGGGGTAATAACAGTAAGGATGCCAGAGAGGGACAAATATTGCCAACTTCTCATGACCCACACAAAAGGAAAAGGAGAGTAAAGGTCTGAAGGGCGCAGTGAGAAGGAAAGAGCTGGAAGGACAACCAGGCCAGGAGTACTGAGGGGCAACCTCACGTGTATAGGGTAGAAATGTAATCAGAGAGGGCCCATTGCTGTGGACAGGACTGAGGGTTGCACCAAGTTTTACAAGTTTGATCGCAAAATTCTGGGACTGTATTTGAATATTTATTCCTTCCTGAAAGGATAGTCTTACTCTCCTGTTATGAGTGTAATTTCATGCATTAAATGGGGATCTGGGCTGAATCCATTGCATGGTTAAATTTGTGGTGTTTTTTGATGCTATATATATATATTGGTTTGTTAAGAATTGAACCGAGGCCTAGAGTATAACCTGTCCATGCAGAATTTGGATGGTAAATTGTTATCTGTGCTGATCTGAGAAAGATTAACATTGGAAGCTGAAAGTGCATCTGCTATCCACTAGATTGCCTTCATGTGTAAAATATTTAAAAACATAATAAATACGACAGACTAAACTGGGTGCAGATGGACATGTCTTCTTTTTGAATGCTAAATGTTATTACAGAAGATAAATGAAGTTCTTATTTTAAAGAAAGAAAAGCCTTTGATTTCCATCAACTGCAGGAGAACTGGGGGGAGGCTCTAATTACAGCTAGTTTGGTTTTGCTAGCTATATTAGTTTGTCTCTTCTCCATCCTGTCTGAGGGCAGGAAAGGAGCTTTTTGCCTTGGTGCCAGCTACAACTGGCTTTGGCTGTCAGGCAGCACAAGGTTGGTTCCTGGCTCTTTGAAGGACAAGCAAAATGCTGACAGGAGGATTATTGCTCCGTGCTGCCTGGATATGTTGGATGCCCCAGATTCGGACGGTATCACAACTGCTAAAGCAGATCAGTCCCTTCTGCTCCCCCCTGCTGGGCTCTGCTTATGCACTGGATTTACTGACATTTTAAACCACTCCTCATGCTTTGACTTCGGCGTGCTTTGACAAACGCGTCTCTTCTGTTTGAGGTATGACTAAGTGCTGTCAACTTCAGTTGGAGTTGTTAAAGCAGGAAATAGCTTTTTGATTATGTCTTCCTTTCTTTTTGATTATGTCTTTTTCCCCCCTTAAGTCTTCAAAACATTGCAAAGTAATTTTACATAGTGGTAGCAATTGGGTCTTTGCTGTCAGAATTGCAGCAGAGGAAGCTGAGGCTGTGTTTTCAGATGGGTTATTTTTATTTTACAGTGTAGCATAAGGTAAACACTGTACAACTTTGAAATACTCCAGTGGAGAAGGGAATGTATGGAAGCTTCCTGTGGGTACTGATGTCATACTCATGCTTGGTACTTTATATCATCTTCTAGTAACTTTTTGCTTGGGTTTTATTGGATTCTGCCCAAGCATTTTGCCTGTTGATCCTGAAGAAGGGTGAGAGCTTGGTGGTGCCTGGATGCTCGTACCAGCTGGGACCTGGACACTTTCCCAGTCACTTAACAGGTTATCCAGCAGTCTGAGACAGTCTATCCCAGAAGGTTTAGTTCTTAGTACTGACTTCCACCTGCATAATTTTACTTTAAAAGAAAGAGAATAGTCAGTCTCAGCTTAGGGGAACCCCTTAAAGCCTCCAAAATGTGCTCAGGTATTAGTGTGGCAGTGTCATTGCATTGGAGAGGGAGTGGAAGGGATGTAAAGGTTGGGAGGCAAGTCAGTGGGTGGGATGTCCAGAGCAGTCCTGAAACCAGAGCTTTATAGTTGAAAACAAGTAGGTTAAAAAAAAAAAAAAGTACGAGCAATTACACTGTGTGTTTGTGAAGCTCATTTCCTTGAATTCACTTTTCAGTACTAGGGCTTTTTAAAGATGTTCTGCCTTAATTGCAGTACTGGGTTTTGGAGTGTGTACCTTTCTAATGTTTTTAACAAAGTCTGGTTTGAGATTCCTGTTTGAACTGTGTGCATATCCGTTCTGAGTGGGGTTGGAATATTTGAATTGGAGTTCTTGTTTCTGACATTGTTATTGCCATTTTTCTGCTTCTTCCTGTATGGGCAATTTATAATAAACAACTTCATAAATTCCTGAAAGGAATTAGCAGTGGAAACCTAGCAGACTTTTATTGTTTTCTTTGAGAGAGGCTTTTCCTTTCTCAAATCCATCACAGTGACAAATGTCCACACGTTCCTTCACCTGCAGTGCAGGTTTTAGCAATGCAATAATGCTGTTAGTTGGCATGTGTGAGGTTTTTGGATATGCTAAAGCATGTGGAATGTGGAAGGCTTTTTGGCTTTGGGTTGGGTTTTGTTTCTGTTTGTAGACTTATACATATATATAATATACAGGAACAGTTCTTTGAAAATAAAAATCAAGAGTCCAGGACTCCCCTCTTTCAGAAAATTGCTCAGATCTCCCGCTTTCTCTGGCCAACGAATCTTTTTTTTTGTCTTTTCTCCATTTATTTTGACAGAGTGGACTAAGATCCGTTTTTATTTAATTTTGTTTATTTATTTATTTTGAGTAGCTCTGTTCACTCACTCTGTCGCTTCCAGATACCTGTTGTATTGGTAAGCTGCAAGTGGTGATTTGGTGCTCATCCTTCTGCTCATTTTTGAAGATTTCTGTCCCTTCGTGGTTGAGAAGCTTTTTCAGGACTGAAGTTCCTTGTTTTATTTCGTTTATCGCTATCTCAGTTTTATAACCGGCTCTATTGTGAGTAATAGGCTTTTCACGGCAGTAAAACCAGTTCGATCATAAGCTCAAGGCAGTAGCTCGGATGAGGGAGGAGCGGTGGGTGGATTAATTAGTAGCTCTCATCAGTGAAGTTTGCCAGCAGGCTTTGGGGACATTCTGGTGAACAAACTGGACAGCTTCTCCGAGCGCGTTTGGGACATGCAGCCCCTGGGCCGCCTGCTCAGCGACAGGGCTGGAGCAGGGAGAGCTTCCTGCCTGCACAGGTGTGTGCAGCTGCTCCCGCTGTAGCGCCGAGCCTGGATCCTTTCCAGGTTAACACGTGAACTTTGCTCACTGTGACATTTTTCTTCCTCCCCCTAAATAAA